AGAATGTGAGACAAAGCAGGTGACAAGTATCACCAGCATCTCACCCGCTATAGACACGTTCTGGCAGAGATTTTAGGGCGGTTGTGAATGAGCGGCCAAGTTTTACATTGTTTTCTCCTGCTGATCTTGATAACTTTGTGGAAACTGCGCATCACACTGGAGTACTGTAGACCAGGAGTGTGCCCCACTCTGTCCTGCAGAAGTGTGACCGTAGATGCAGCTGGCGCAAATGAGCGTGCTGAAAGAATGCTAGATTTCCTGTAAACGTCTCTCCAAGATCAGTGAATTTGTGTGGCGCTTAGGGCTGGGTGATTTGGTTTGGTTTGGGCTTTTAGCAGTGACAAGGATGGAGCCAGGACCTTGTGTGGGGAAGGCAAGCGCTCTACCACTGAGCTGTACCTCCAGCTCCTCAGTTTAGATTTTGAGAATAGTCATTTCTAAAGTTCTACCATTTAGGATTTAATGACTTCACTGAAAGTTCTTGTTTCATGGTTCTTTCAGATTATTGTATTCGTTGAAACAACCATATTTCCTTTTTTCTTCAGTCACATTGTATTGGTACACCTTAGCTACGCATGATGATCACATCGTAATTTGTACCTGCACACCATGTAACTTGGTTCCTTTTTCCCCATTCCCCTCCCCTCCCTTTAACCCTTCTCCTCTCCCCATTTACCAAAGCTTTGTTTCCATTTTTTCCCTTCTCATCACTTTTTTTTCCTTCTTTCCCTTTCCCCTCCCCTTCCCTTTTCCCCTCCGCATTTGAACATTTTTTTCCTATTTTGCAATACCCAGTATACCTTTTTGGTGTCCTTATTTACACTTTAGGTTTCTCACACCAGAGAAAGTGTGGTATTTACGCATGTGTGTCCATCCAGTTTATTCCATGCAACAGTAAACCATATTCTTTTAAAAGAATAAGAATAACCAGATGAGATGTAGAGAATACAAATTGGGAGCTCCATTTGCTATGTGTAATTTATTTTCTCAGTTTTAGGACTTTATCTCATATTTAAAAAAAATTGTATTAGTAACTTTGCAGTACATAATGTTTGCATTCCTTAAGCAGTATGTGTATATAAGATTTTCCTACAAGTAACTTATTTTTCTTTATGCTAGAGTATTACTCCATTGTAAGTAAACTTTTCCTTTGACATTGGCAGTAAGATCTAATAAAATCTATAACTATGCCATTGTTTTGCTTCCATTTTACCAAAGTGTCTGGTGCTTTGGCCCCTGATTAAAATTGCTGTATAGGAAAGATGTGGTCAGTCCACTTGGAGCAGAAATGTAGCACTTAGTCACTTGCCTTGCAAGTGGCCTTGCAGAATGAAAACTCAATATATTGTGTATGGTTGTTGATATTGGATATAGAATGCCAATGTAGTTATAAGTACAGTAAATACTAAAATGGAATGTCCTCTCTCCATTAGTTCTTTACCATCAGGAATATGATTTAGAGCTTTGTAGGTTGACCTAAGAATGTGGAACTGGAGTTTGAGATATAAAGAGAAAGTTAGAACTTAACATCAGGATCCCACCGAGGCCTCCTTGTTGGTTTGCTATTTGAGTTCAGACAGACAGCACTGTTTGGCATCAGGAGCACTTGTTGCTGAGACGCAGGTGATCGCCTCTCCCCAGAGGAAGAACAGAGGCTGTCAGAGTGCCGCCAAACATGAGTGAGGAGGCTGCACTGGACCTCCGAGACTTGATTCTGCTCTAACAGTGCTAACGTGTCTTCCTTGGAACCAGCCCAGCGCCCTGGGTAACAACCAGCGTGATTTCTGGGGCTTGCCTACTTCCACCACGGGCCATTCATGGTACCACACTGTGGTGGGGGGTTTTGTTTTGATTTTTAAGTTTTAATTTTTAATTAATTTATTCATTTGGTGCAGGGTCTCACTATGCAGCTTGGACTCATAGTGATCCTCCTGTCTCAGGCACTGGGATTACAGACATGTGCTACCATGCCCAGTTTCAGTGACCAGCATGACGTGTGGTACTGGGGATCGAGCCCAGGTCTTTGTGCTTGCCAGGCAAGTGCTTAGAACACTGGGCTATCTCCCCAGCCCTGTGGTCATTATTTTCTGTTGGGAGTGAGTTCTTTTTTTGTTTCTTTGTTTGTTTTTTGCCTGGAGAGCTTGCTTTTCCATTAGATGTCACCCTGTAGGTAGACCATGCCCTGTTACCAAGGGGTTGCTGGTTTTTGCATGCTTTCTTCATGCTGCAGAGTGCTGTGCTCAGCCTCACCAGGCCTAAGTACTGAGTAGCTAAGCTGAGGTTCACACCCAGGCAGTCAGTCCATCTCCCCACGCATTTGGGTGGAGTAGCCAGGCTCTGTGACAGCCTCCAGTGGGAGGAAAGCTGTGTGCAGGTCACCCCTAAGAGTCGTCCTTCTCAGAAGACTTAGATTTAGCACATTGTTCACCCTACTCCTTCTCATGTCTAAAAGCAGCCTTCAGGATTTTGAAACGTGCTAGCTGACTGCTCACACACTCACTAGTGCCTGTAACTCTGAAGGTGGTGATTCTCGTAAGCGCGCCTTTGTTAAACTTGAGGGCACCCACCTGTGTCCTCTGAGTGCTTCCATAAATAACTTCAGCATGTTCCTGCCAGCTTGAACACCAGGGGGACATGCATGGGTGGTACAAGCCACCAGAAGGGACTGTCCCCTGTTGCTTGATGGGACAGTGTGCACACTCCATGGAAGGGTTCAGAGCTACCCAGCAGTGAGACATGCAAATCAAGGCCCCATCCTGAACTTGTTAAACCCAGACAAATGACTCTAGTAATGACCTTATATTTTTCCCCCATTGGGGAAGACAGGTACCTTCTGGTCCAACAGTCTTTAATCAAGATCTTAATGATTGAGGGCTTCATACAAACCAACAGCTGCATTCCTAACCATTTATCCCAGAAAAACAAAGACATAAGAGTCAAAAATCTACACACAAACGTTTGTAGTAACTTTAACATAATAGCTGAAAACTGGAGAAAACCAGATGTCCGTCAGTGGGTGAGCTGTTAAACAGTAGGACACTCATGCTGTAGAGTACTACTCAGTGATAAAAAGGTATAGACTATTAATGTACACAGCAGTTGGCATGAATCTCCAGAGAATTATGCAGAGCGAACAAAGCCAATCCCAATAGGTGTTGCGTACTGTGTGGTTCCAGTATCCCACACTGTTGAAAGGAGAGGATTGGAAATGAAAGGCAAAGTAGTGGTTTCCAGGGTCTAAGAGAAAAGGAGTAGGTACAGCTATAACAGAGTGGCACGGAAGTCCTTATGGTGGTGGAAAATAGCTATTGTTGGCAAGGTGTTGCCATTGGGAAAATGGGAAAGGATGCACTGGACCTCTGTTACTTCTCACACATGATTCTACAGCTAATGCAAAATGAAAAGTTTAAAAATCTAGTCCTTTTTATCCTTGGGATAATCGTTATCACTTCTTGGGGAAGTATTAGGGCTTTCCAGTGATTAAGGTTCAGGTGAAGCTGCCAAAGTTTTCTTGGCTGATTTTTAGTAATTTGGCCTAGTGGATTTATATACATTCAATGGAACCACAAACTTGATCAAGGGTATTTTGTTTTCAGGTCTTGGCATATCTGAAAAAATGGCAGGAAAACTGCCTTTCTTTTAGATTAAGAGCATTAGCATGATGCGGGGCATAGCTGTGTGGTCTATCACTAAACTTCCACATGAGAGCAGACTCACAACATGTCTCTGTTACCTTTAGGATAAATCCCTGGCAGTATTTTAACAGTGAAATTTGAAGCAACATCTTATACTAGAGAGAGGCATTAACTGTGAAGACTATTTCATTGATTAAAATGAGATAGGAAAAGTGCTAGACTTTGAATGAATTCAGTTACTGGTTCAAAAAATTCAGAAGCAAAGTGTGTCTAATTGGTATTATATAGTCACAGATTACTAGTATGTGGTTGAGGGGAGATGGTTTGTGTGGTGCCTTGTCTCCATGGTGTTTACTTACGTTGCCGTGGGATGTCCTCATGTCCAGCTTGTCATCACTGGCAGCCTGTGTATCACAACTGGACATACATCGTGTGAATGAGTCTTCATTAAGTGCCATTATTTCTCTACATAATTTATTTAAAGGTAGTTTGGTAATGACCAACAAGAAGTTAACGTGAGTTTCAACCTGACCGTTAATTTAGGATTTGGACTTCATATTCCACCCCTTAGCGTGGCACGTTTCAGGCCTACGGTCAGTGTTTGCTTAATTAATGTTGTTGTTGCTGATGATACTGCTTCCTCCTTGTCTCCCTCAATGTGGGGAGCCACAGCAGTAGTGGACCCCATAGAAGGAGGTTGGTGGGACAATACCTGTTTCAGAAGGGAAGGCTGGAGGTATGGAAAAAGGCTGCAGCTAGTTTTGAACCAGATTTCCTTTCACACTGAAAAGAAGATGAAGGATAATCTCAGGAAGAGATTTAAATATTAGCATTCAAGAAGATTAGAAATAGTTTTTGCTTAAATCTTTCCTGTTTAGTTTAAATATGGCTTTTCCTCCATTTTAGGAGGGGTATTTTATTTCTGAAATACTCTGGTGGGAGCAGGGGTGGGGCTCAGTGGTATAGCCCTTATCTAGGATGTGAAGGCTCTGGGTTCCAGTCTTGCTCCACAGTGAAAATATAGGCACTTCTGTAGACTAATGTGCGTCTGGCTTCCATTTATAATGTGGAAAACAAAGCATTCTGAACTCCAAACTAAGCGTAAGTTTTTAGAGCCTGGTTTGTTTTTTCCTGGTGGCACATGCTGTGACTCTTCCTCCGCTCTTTCTAGCCCTGCTTGCTCGTTGGTAGGCAACACAGCATTCCCACTTTTCACTGCCTTCTCACTTCCCTGGCCTCTCTGTCACTGTCTCAGGTTTTCTGGAGAACTTCCCTGAGCTCGGCTGGCCTGTCTGTACATAAGAGAACAGCGTGTTCTTTTTTACGCCACACCTTCATTGTAACTGAATTTTCTATTGATTGTAGGTCCTTTCTGACACATACTGAATATTTTTGTGGAGCCTACTTAAGAATTCCAAAAGAGTGCTGAGTGACCCCCAGAAGAGAAATCAATCTTCAGGCCTCAGTGAGTACTTTCTACTGTGGACAACTGACAGGCTGTGAAACCCTCGGTGGCCTGTGGCCTTGTATTCATACACGTTTGGTTCTGTATCAAGATGAACAGTGCTGTCTGTCGTTGGGCACATTAAACATGGGGGTGAGGTGAGCAGTTTCTCAAGGACGAGGGAACTGACAAAATTCCCCACCCTTACACTCACCTACAGAGGAAACAACGAAGGCCTGTATTTTTCCTGAGCCAACTTTCAGAAACTTCCCAGGCTGCCAACAAGAATTCTTACTGTGTTTGGATCACAACACCAATGAGATTGTTTTTCAGAATCCTTACAAAATTTAGCCAGATCACTCTGAAAAACTACTTGAAAGTGGCATTTTATTTTTACAAAGATTTGTGATAAACTTTGGATCTTTCCAATGATCCAGTTCAGTGAGTATTGTAATGGTAAGGAAGAGATTAACCTCAAAAGAGTTCTTGACTATCTTAATAAGTAAATTCTCATAGATTTTATTTTATTTTATTTTTTCTGTATTTTAGGGAAGGGTCTAAAGTGTGTTTAGGGTCTCACTACTAGATCAGACTCATAGTGATTCTCCTGTTTACAACCTCCCAAGTGGTGGGATTACAGGCACGTGCCACCACGTACAATCTCAATCATTGTCAGCACACTCTGGGGGTGGGGTCAGCACAGCAGGCCCGGGAATTGAACCCCCAGTCCCTGTACCTGCTAGCAGGCACTTTAATCTGCTGAGCTGTTTGGCTGGCCCTGGAATTATCCTTTTTTCTGCTGCTCCCCCTCCATAGCACTGAGTCCTGCATGCTTTGTGTTCCTCTCCAGGTGTCCCACCTCTCCGTGATGTCCTTATATGACTGCCATTTACGTGGCTTCAAGTCCTACAGTTACTTTCACTGTAGGATTCAAAGAAAATAAATCGTACCAGGGAATTGTAAGAAAGGCCCGGTAACTAGCAGATGCCTGGGCTGAGCAGGTCCTTGGCCTGTGCTCAGGCCTCCCTTCCCACAGACCCCAGGGTGGCAGCGGAGACTGGTATGATTCGGCCACAACAGAATACTTCTCGAAAAAGCACTGGATTTGAAGCCCGGGGCTGCAAGGTGGGGCGAAAGGCCCGGGGGAGACAAGAATCCACCAGCTCAGCAGCCCTGGGTTCTGCTCTCCTATGTCCCCCGGCCTCAGCCCCACTTCTGCCAGTGTTCCAGAAGGAAAGACCACCTGGAAAGCTGTGTGAGCCGAGCGTGGCTGGGACTCAGCTTTTGTAACCTTGCAGTAAGAGCCAGCTCTATCAGCACAGCACTGACTCTCTAGTTTCTTGTTTTGGTGGTTTTCTCTATAGGTAACCTAAGAGTAGTTTCTTTGGACAGTCTTTCTCTTAAGTGAACCAAGGCAAGGAGAGGGAGATCTTGTGCACATTTGCTAAGGCAGCTTGTCCCGAGGGTGCAGGAGGGAAGTACACCGAGGTGGGCTGGGAGCAGAGAGGATGGACCCAGGGCTTCAGCTGCCTGCTGCCCTTGCCCTTCTCTTTCTTTGCAGCCAGATGGGCTCTCCCTCCTCTTGTCTTCTGACAGCGCAAGTTTGGCAAAAGCATGTGGTGAGAGGAAAACAGAATAGAGCAGCATAGAGTTAACGTACAAAAAGAAGGGTAATCTACATTGATCTCATGGTATTTCCACTTTTTATTCTTATTTTTTTTTAAATATTTTATTCATTTATTTATTTGGTACAGGGTCTCGCTACACAGCCCGGACTCATAGTGATCCTTCTGTCTCAGCCTCCCCAGCACTGGGATTACAGGTGTGTGCCACTGTACCAGGTTTCCGGGCCAGTATGGCATGCAGGACTGGGGGTTGAATCCGGGTCCTTGTGCTTGCCAGGCAGGCGCTTAGACTGCTGAGCTATCTCCCTAGTCCCCAGTCTTTGAATTGTTTTTTACTTTCTTATCCTTTTAATGAAAATTTGAAACCTGTACAGTGAACACAATGTCTGTAGTAGTGGTCCTTATCAAGTGCCAATTATCTTCTTTCCTGTCCCTGCAGGTAACTTTGCTTATTTACCATATAAAATAACTCACAAAGCAAATACATGAAAGAAAATTACTTTGTATAAAAATAAAGACATGTACCAGCAGTACCGTTCATACACATACATATTTACATGTATTTCTTTGATGTGTAAAGTTCATGTTATCTATGTCTTCTGACAGTGTAGTGAATGGTAAGCAATTATATCTTGCTTACCTTTAAAAATACCTCTTAATCTTTTTACATGATGAAAAACAAACAGAATTTTATAATTAATTGTAATTTCATTCTAGCAGATGTAAATAAAATAAAACATTTTAATGGAAGTAAGATATAATTGGTAATTTCATTATTATTTCCATTTGATATGGTAATGCGTTACAACAGAAAAAGAAGGATAAAAAAATAATGCTTTTTTTTTTTTGTATTTTAGGGGAGTGTCTACAGGGTGTTCAGGGTCTCACTGCTAGATCGGACTCTAGGTGATTTGCCTGTTTACAGCCTCCCAGGAGCTGGGATTACAGGTTTGTGTCACCACACCCAGTCTCAATTGCCATCTCAGTGGCCAGCTGGCCCAGGGATCAAACCCCCAGCCTCTGCGCCTGTTTGCAGGTGCTTTAATCCTCTGGGCTACTTGGCCGTTCCTCTTAATGCTTTTCTGATTGGCTTCATTGTCTGAGTTTCATTAGGCTTCATCAAACCTCACGCGTACCATATTTCGTTACAGGCATCTTCCACCAGCCCCATCAGAGAGATGTCCTACGTTTTTGTAAACGATTCTTCTCAGACTAATGTGCCCTTACTGCAAGCCTGTATTGATGGGGACTTTAACTATTCCAAGCGTCTTTTGGAAAGTGGCTTTGACCCAAATATCCGCGATAGCAGGGGGAGGACCGGCCTTCACCTGGCGGCGGCCCGAGGGAACGTAGACATCTGCCAGCTATTGCATAAATTTGGCGCTGACTTGCTGGCCACAGACTATCAAGGAAACACGGCTCTTCACCTCTGCGGCCACGTGGACACCATCCAGTTTTTAGTTTCCAATGGACTCAAAATTGATATTTGGTACGTTTTAATGGTTTCAAAGTCTAATCGTTTCTTTCCATTTGTCCTTCAACCAGTGCTGTACTCTTGGAGCCTTGATTTTCTTTCTTTATTGATCAGTTTTAATGAAAAGCTTAGAAACGTATTGGAGATGGTGAAAGCTTGTTAGGAAAGTGAGGAAGCAAGAAGTTAACTTCAGTCATGCTGAGATATTCTAGTGGCCAACTTCTACTAATTAATTGTGTAGTGTCAGACAAGGGAAAAAAGAAAAGAACTAGTATTTGTTGAAAATCTATGAGTTGTACCATGGTTACTTAAGGTAGCCTGTTTTATTCTCAGAACAAATAGCTCTTAGTCTGTTTCCTTCATTTGACACATGAGGTGTCAAAGGGGTCACTAGGAGACCAAATGGGACTCTGAAGCTAGCTCCACTAACTCCAAAGCTCCTGTGGCTTCTGTCACATAGTATACCAACTTTATGATCTCTCGGGGGCCAGAGTCATTGTTATACTGGTAAGTTTGAGGAAGTCATAGGTCTCTGATTTGATTTGTTGTTACTCCATATTTTGAGTGGCAAAGATGTCAGGCCACCTTTAAAACTGAGCTTGAGATTTAAATTACAGTTACCTGTTGCCCAAGATTTTTGTTGTCATGCCCTGAATCTGAACAGAACAGTAAGCAATTCTGTTAGGACTGGACAGGGTATGGTGGGAACTGACTGCAGCATTCAGTGCAGCTTGAGTTCTGTTCTCTTCTTAGTATTAAATAGATGGTGGGGCCAACCTGATAGCTCAGCAAACTAAAGTGCCTGCTTCAGCAGAGCGCAGCGCCTGGGGTTCAGTCCCCCGTGTGCCATGCCGGCCCCACCTCTGGAGCACACTGAGCCGGCAATTGAGACTGGGCGTGGTGGCACGCACCTGTAATCCCAGCATTTGGGAGGCTGAAAGCAGGAGGATCACTACAAGTCCAATCTGTGAGTAAGACCCTGTAGACCCTGTACTAAATACAAAAGAAAATAAATAAATAGATGGTGAACAAAGGCAGCTTTATTTTTATTCTTGAGACTTTTTAAGATACATATTCTTCCTATAAAATATGTTGAATAAGGAGACTAGAACCGAACTTCCCAGCTAATCTCCAAGGTTTTCTCTTTTTATTTACTCTCATTTATCCCTCCTTTACCTGTATATTCTTTTTCCTTTTGTCTAGAAGGGGGAAAAAATAGAGTTATTTAAGCATCAGCTTCTAGCTTGACTCCTTTCTATACCCTGGGGCTTAATTTGGAGTCATTTGATCGCATCCTTTCTTCACTGAGGTCTGCACAAGTGGATACTAGCTGTATAGTTCAGCCGTTGTAACGGTCTTTGTTTTATGAACTTTTTTAGCAATCATCAAGGTGCTACCCCCTTAGTGCTGGCAAAGCGCAGGGGTGTGAATAAAGATGTCATCCGATTGCTGGAATCTTTGGAAGAACAAGAAGTGAAAGGATTTAACAGAGGAACCCACTCAAAACTGGAGACCATGCAGACGGCTGAGAGTGAAAGGTACTTGAGATGTAGTATTTAAGAGGCGTGTCACTGAGCACCAGGTCTTCGTGGTACTGTGCAAACTTTATACTCCTTGTTCTCAAGTGCAGGGTTTTGACACTGCCTTTGAACTCTAAATAGGTCCTTAGTAGCTTCAGGTTGGGCCGGAGATGTAGCTCAGTGGCTCAGCGCCTGCCTAGCAAGCACAAGGCCCAGGGTTTGATTCCGGTACCAAAAAAGAAAATAGTAAATGTAGCTTCAGGTTACGATCAAGAGGCTCTCCCCAGGAAGTACTGTGTGCCACGTAACCTACTATGCACTCATCCAGCTGCTTGCTGTGTGGATGGTACAAGGGAGAAGAGGTAGGTAACAGCTGAACTGAGGGAAGAAAATACGCGCTTGAGAATTTGAAGCACAGATCAAAAAAATAATGGAAAAAAATTGGTGCATAAAAGGAGGAAAGAAGAACTGAGAAGTTGGCAGGATTGGGAAGATTATAATGATCATTTCAAAGGTAGTGAAGTAGGATGCTGGGAAATAAACAGGAGAGGGAAACTGAGGCACTATTTAGCATACACAATCTATTCAGTGAATGACTTTCACATAAGTTGGAGCTAACAAACTCTGGGCTTCTCTCAGTGACTGAAGCTAAGACGTGAGCGGCAAGGTCCTACAGATCTCCCCACTTTCCATCTAGACACAGGGGGCAAGAGTTCAGGGAGCTCTGGGAAGGAAGCAGGCTGAGCTCTGGGCTGACCAAGTCTGTAGGTCAGCCTAGTTGTTAGTGGCGCATAGTTTGGTGACCGCCATGGAGTTTCAGCCTCCAGGTGATACAGAGCAGCCTGATGGCCTTACCGTAGTCTCAGCCCCAAATTTTGAGTAGATGAGAGATTGAGCAAAGAGGAGCCCACAGCCGCTATTGACCTAATATATGACTGACCGGGACTTGAATTTAGGATCGCACAAACCCCTAGGATCGTGATTTCTGGGAGTCCTGCTTGAAATCGTCATTGATCCTTTGCTCTGCTTCCCCCTTTTCCGTGTTTTGACGGGTGTGTGCCTGGGGATCATTCATTTCACTGTCAAGCTTAAGTCTGCCTTGTAAAAATACTTTTTAGTGGGCCGGGGAGATGGTTTAGTAGAATAAGCACTTGCCTGGCAGGCGCAAAGGCCTGAGTTCAATCCCCGGTTCTACCAAAAAAAAAAAAAAAAAAAAAAAGTCTCATTTAAAATGGTTCATGCTCCTCAGAGAGTTACCAGTGAAAACTGACAGGTGGGCAGAGCAGAAAGGAAGTGGGACGGGTACTCCCAAGTCTTTTTTTTTTTTTTTTTTTAATGTAGTTAGTACAGGGTCTCCGGGGTCTCACTATACAGATCAGACGCCTAGTGATCCTCCTGTTTTCAGCCTCCCAAAAGCTGGGATTACAGGCACGCGCCACCACGCCCAGTCTCAGGTGCCACCTCATCATGCCCCAGTCCCTGCATCTGCCTAGGCAGGCGCTTTAATCTGCTGAGCTGTCTGGCCGGCTGGCCCTCCTCCCAGGCCTTTCTCTCCTCTGTGTCCTTGGACAGAAGATGCTGCGAGCGCCTAACAGTGCTGCCTAGCGCTTGTTAGGCCATGTTCCTCCTGAATAACTGGAAGTGTGTTTTCATCTTTCTGTAAACTGCCATTAGATTACCTTCAGCCTCTTTACTGTCAGAAATATCCATGAATGTGGTTTGGTTTTTTCCCCCGCTTTTTGACGGAACCAGGGATTGAACTCAGGGCCTTGCGCTTGTCAGGCAAGCACTTACTCTACTGAGCCATCCCCCGGCCCCCAAGGATGTGTTTTTGCTTGGTGTATTTTTTGGATTTAGTATTGATAATAGCCAATTCCTAGGTCCCTCTTGGTTGGGAACATACTCCCAGGTTTATTTTCCTTCAGTTGTGGTTGCTCGTTCATTGAGAGGTGGTTAGCTCTTTGAGCAGCTCAGTGTCACATACTTAACTCTGGCTTCCTTTGCATCTCTTGTCATTTTGCTTCAGCACAAGAATGTGGGTTATTTACATCTTTATATAAAGCTCATTCTCAAAAAATTGAATTACTAATGCTTTTTATAGTTTTATGTTTAAATTCTAAAAATTGTATTGTTCATAACATTTATTTTAAAATATTTAATATTTTGATATTTCATTATGCTTTATATTAAACAGTAAGTTATTTAAATAACATTTAAAATATTGTATCGCTTTTTCTGTCTGCTTCCTGGTAGCAGGGTAGACAAAGTAGCCAAGGCTGTGCTTCCAGGCAGCACCGCCGGACAGCAGCGGGACAGACCTCGAGGCTGCCGGGTGGCTGTGAGCAAAGGGCTGGGGAGCCAGGTGTTGAGGAGAAATCAGAAACCTGTCCTGCTGGGTGTGTGTGAAAGGTAGACACTTTGGAAAACAGCATGGCAGTTCCTCGGAAAGTTACGCAGAGCCTTAGCGCCTGAGCCAGCAATTCTAGGGGCGTATCAGAGAAAAGTGACATCATATGTCCGCACAGAAGCTTGTGTGCAACACATGTTCATAGCAGTATTTTCATGATTGCCAAAGCAAACTGCCCAAGACATCCATCTGCTGATGAAAGAATAAACAAAACGTTGCTTTTATCCAGTGGAATAATATTCTCCCACAAAAGGGAATGAATACTGATAGGTGCACCAGCATGGGTAAATGTGGAACGCGTGCCCTATCAAGAAGCCCGGCACAGAAAGCCACGTGTTACATGATTCCATTTATGTGGAACAGCCAGGATAGGAAATCCACAGAGACAGAGAGTAGCTGGTGATTCCCCAGAGCCAGGGGCAGAGGCAGTGAACACTAATGGGTATAGAGAGGGTTGTAGAGGTCAAAGTATTGGATTAGATATGGAAGTGGCTTATAACTTTGTGAATAAATTAAAAGCCACTGGGTTGCACAACTTGAAAAGATGGATGTTATGGCATGTGAAATTGAAAAAGTGGGAGGGGTTCAGGGATTGGCCAGCACGTGGCATTGAGCTCAGCTGAGTGACAGCCTGCTCAAGACCGGATCATGCCGGTGTGAAGCGCACTTGCCGCCGTCTTCCTCGTGATTTCCCAAGACAGCCTAACTTCCACGTACAGCTCATAAATTAATAGATCAAAAGTATTTCCCTACTCCTGCTTATCCTCAGCGTAATTCAGTTCCTTTTCTTATATTTTTGTTGTGTAGATATAGAATGACAAAACAGTATAGATGACGTGTTCAGAAAGAGTACATGTGTTCATATGTGTGCACATGCACACATGTGTACATACCCTCCAAATTATCCTGGGGTCTGGGATTCCCTGGACAGTAGAAAGCATTTCATTGGATAAACTTCTATCAAAAATTCTGGACCTTGTCTCTGTGGTGCAATCAGTTAGTACATTTGCCTCTTGACCAAAAGGTTGGTGGTTCGAGCCCACCCAGGGACGCCCCTTGCTCTTTAAGGGGCCAGCCAGATAGCTCAGCAGATTAAAGTGCCTGCAAGCAGGTGCGGGGGCCAAGGGTTCAATACCTGGGCCTGCTGTGCCAGCCCCGACCCCTGGGCACGCTGAGATGGCGATTATGACTGGGCATGGTGGCGCGCGCCTGTAATCCCAGCTCCTGGGAGGTTGAAAACAGGTGGATCACTACAAGTCTGATCTAGTAGTGAGGCCCTGAACACCCTGTAGACCCTTCCCTAAAATACAGAAAAAAAAAAAAATCCTGACTGGCCGAGCTTTCTGGTTCCTAGGCAATGATCACTGAATTCTTCTCACTTTAGTCCCTAACATCTTTTGAGTGTGAGAGCATCTCAGCTCAGACATAGTAAATTTCAAATAGCTCAAATCAAACATGTTTTGAATTTATCCCATTTGTCTGTCTGTCTGTCTAGAGACAAGGTCTTTTTTTTAAAACAGGGGATTGAACTCAGGTCCTTGCGCTTGCCAGGGAAGTGCTTATTCCACTGAGCCATCTCCCCAGTCCCCGACAGGGTCTTACTGTGCAAGCCAGGCTAGCCTGGAACTCACTGTATAGCCCAGGCTGGCCTTGAACTTTTGGAAGTCCTCCTGCCTCAGCCTCCTGAATGCTGGGATTATAGTCCTATGCCACCATGCCCAGCTATTTGAATTTATATATCTATTTATGGCCTTGTTTAGGCTTTCTCAAAGTTGTAATGGCATTTTAGAATTTGCTCAGATTTTCTGAAATCTCTCTGTATTGTTACAGATACCCACTGACAACATCTTTTACCCAATTAAACATTTTCTAATATGAAAAGAGTTTGGCTAGTAAACATACTGACTTTTTAGAAAATCAGCTCTCCATGGCTGAAGGAGACATCTTCTACTAGTAGAGGCTGAAGGCCTTTGCTTAGTGGTGCTGAGATCCAAGGGGGCCAGGCGTAGAGGCCACCCCTGTGTGCCAGCACTCAGGAGGCTGAGGAGGGTGCACCTCCTGAGCTCAGGAGTTCAAGACTGGCCTAGACAGTGCAGCAAGAAGAGGTCTAAGGGGGAAAAAAAAAAGAGGTAAAATAAAGAGGTAGGCAAAACCAGCTGCCAGGTTTGTATGAGCTTGTGCATAGTTCAGAGTAAATGAGACTTCACGTCGTTCTGTGCTGTTTTCATTGAAGACTATGGGCGGGGTTTCTGAGGGTAGTAAGGAGCTCTTACAGCCAACAGACAGATGATGCCTATGATTTTGGCCTTTGTGGCTTTAATCGAAATGATACCTGGTGACTGGGCCACCTGTTGTGACATAATGGTGAGTGCTGATCCCTTCAAACTGTCAGTTTGTCACAGAGCATTGCTCCAGAGATCCCGCTTTCTCTCAGTGGTGGTCCCATTGCCCATTGGTAATGTTCTGAATGTTGCAGTTTATGTTTTTATAGTATTTGTACTACCCCACTCAGTCTTTGTACAAAGAGAAACACACTCATTCTGTGTTACTGCATAAGATAGAACCAAAACCAGCAAGAGTAAACTATAAAGATCGCCCAGTGAATTCCTAGTCCACCTATGCAACACGCGGAGTTTAGAAATTATACCGACAGAAGGAGGCATGCCTTCATTAGTCAGATGATTGAATTAATTAATAAAAATTTGACTTTACCTTTTACGTTATATAAGTGATTTTAAAAACTTACTCAGTTTATTTTCATTAACATGAACTCTTAGATTGTGAATTTTTATTTTGAATCTTCAAAGTTTAGCATGCTTTCATTAATATCTTTTTTTTGTATTTTAGGGAAGGGTCTACAGGGTGTCAGGGTCTCACTACTAGATAGGACTCGTAGTGATCCACCTATTTACAGCCTCCCAAGAGCTGGGATTACAGGCGCGCACCACCATGCCCAGTCTCAATTGCCATCTCAGTGTGGGGCTGGCAGGCCGGCCCAGAGATCGAATCCTTGGCCCCAGTGCCTGCTTGCAGGCACGTTAATCCGCTGAGCTATTTGGCTGGCCCTTATTAATATCTTGATGGAAACAACTTGTGAGCTATTTCAAAACTAGGTTGGTGGAACCAGGGCTTGAACTCAGGCCCGTGTGCTTGCCAGACAAGTGCTTATTCTACTGAGCTATCGCCCTGGTTAGAATCTAACCCAAGAAACCTAATCATTCCCAAGGTGTATCAGTGTTTATTTATTTATTTATTTATTTATATTTTTCCATAATTTTATTGAGAAACAAATAGCAATGAGACAGTTTCAAACCTAATTGGTAGGACAGTTTCAATAATTAACACATTGCGTACATTCTTCTTAGTGGTTAATTGTTGTACAAAATGCGGACATGATATCCTATTTACAAACACTATTAGAACAAATCCCTGTATTCTTTAAGAGAATGCAACTGTGTATCTGTCCTAACCATTTTGAATACACAGATACAAAATGGACATTCATCTGTATCCCCTTTTTTTGTTAAGTTTCATTATTTGAATATTATAGGTGTGTTAACTCAGCAAAAATTCTAAAAGAGTCAGTGTTTACTTTAGAGTAGGTCAGTACCTGTGGATGTGTGAATCAGAGCAGAGGTGAGTGGGAGCACCTGCGTTAGCTGCTGTCTTCTTGTAAGTACGCACTATAAGGTTGGCCTTTTCTGAGCGGCGTAGCTCCCGTCTTATGTCATTATTGAAACTGTCCTACCAATTAGGTTTGAAACTGTCTCATTGCTATTTGTTTCTCAATAACGGAGTATGTCATTTCATGCCACTGTGCTTCTCTTTCCTTCTTTCACAGCGCCATGGAAAGCCATTCTCTCCTCAATCCCAACCTCCAGCAGGGTGAAGGAGTCCTCTCCAGCTTTCGGACCACGTGGCAGGAGTTCGTAGAGGATCTGGGCTTCTGGAGGGTCTTGCTCTTGATCTTTGTCATTGCTCTGCTATCTCTCAGCATCGCCTACTACGTGAGCGGGGTGCTGCCCTTTGTGGAGAACCAGCCAGAATTGGTGCATTAACGGGGCTCACAGGAGACAGAACCCATCTCCTGGCACCCAGTGTTGGTTCTCCATCTCAACACTTGTCTCAGTGCAAGGCAGTGGGGCTGTACATTTTTATCTTTGCCTTGGTAACCCGTGTAAGACAGTGTGTTCATCTGAACTTCACACTGTAGTTGAGTATACTGTGTGCTGCCTTGCACTCAGCCTGAGCTCTCCGGGAAGCCTGTTCTCAGCCTCCAGGATACAAACTCGGAATTTCCTAAAGAAAGGGGTTTCTTGTCTGATTTCTTTTAGTGGTTTCTTTTCTGTTTAGTTTTGTAAAAGCCCGTTTTCTCTATTTTGTTCTCTGGGGAAGAGGAGAACAAAATTATTTGCTTGAATTTTGAAGTACTTTATTTGAAACCTGCTAGGCCAAATTAGTAGTTAGAATTTGACTTAATTGCAACCTTTTCAAATCTAGTTATAATTTGACAAAATTGAACATGAGCTGTACTTTCTCCAGAACTGATTGCTTTGATCTTATGTTTAGGCTTAGGGTCATTTTGATTGTTATAAACTGCTAGCAAAATTACCTGAGAAGTAAGATTGAGAAGTTCACTTCATTCACTTTCATTTGCCCCATGTATTTATTTTAGAGGTTCTCTACTCACCAAAAAATCCTTTCCCTACTGAACAGTTTTCAGGAAAAAAATAATTCTCATACTAAAATAACAATTCTGTAGTGTTATTTATTACCGGTTTCATAAGCTAGGTGTGTGGCCACAGTTGTGTCATAGTTGTTTAATGCATCGTCTATGTGGAGGGCCATCTCACTTTGTGCAACAATCCTACCAGATCAGTAGTTCCCTGGCAGCTGGAAAGGATGGAGCATTTCCACATGAACGGCCCTGAACAGTATTATCCTTGGTGTCATAAACCTTTTATGGAAGGTAACATTATGTAAGCTGAAGTCTGACCTCCAGACTATACTGCCTCTCTCAGAAGTGTTTGAAGGCCTATTGTTAATGATCCTGTAATGTACAAGTCATATTTTAGGTTATTATGAAAGAATATTAAGGCTTAATAATTGTCCATTGAATGAAGTCAGAAAATTGTAGTAAAAACTGATGATTGTATATTCTGAAACACAGGCATGTAAATGAATACTAGTTGAATTGTGGCTAGATTTAGAAATTACAGTTAGACTAGAATCAATACATCTCTGGTCCTTTTGCTTCTTGATATTTCTTTTGTATTTATACATGTTGTTGGGAGGCTTTTTTCTTTCATGTGGCTTTACCCTTTTACAGAGCTCCTTTAAATGTCGTGATTACCTGGCTGCTTCAGGATCAGCTTGCGGAGTCTTGCTTTTAGGTTAGGCGCAAACAAAATGCTCTGTGTAACTATAGCAAAAGAAAAAGTCAGAGTAGAAGCTTGGGAATTAGCTTTATGTTGTAAGTCTAAACAAATATGCAAGTTGATTAATGTATTAAATGTGTTTTTTTTTTAAAAAATCAATGTTCCCTTTTAAGTGCAGATTTCTTTGTATTCTGTTCTCTGCATTCTGTAATGCCACCAATAAATGTGTTTATAAATCCTTAACCGTAGTCTGTTTTCTTAGTGTATCATGGCCTTTCTTTTACTTTCAGGATTTTATGATAGATTGCAACTGGCGGTTTAAAAAAACAAGGCTTGTTTTCAAACCTGGTGTAACGTAGACAGCCTTTCATGTGGTTGCCTTACAGGTCCTCTGAAAGTAGTTTGGAGCATGGCTTGTGAGCTGAAGAGTAGGCGCCTCTGGCTGGATGAGGTGCTGAGCCTGCCTCCTGACACCCGAGGGCAGGCCGTGTCCCCATGGCACATGGTGAGAAACAGACTTGGAAAGGATAAGTGCCACAACTTGGCAGCCGTGCGGTCCTCTTCAGAGCCGTACCTGCTGCCATCTCAGCGGGCATTGCTAAATTTTCCATTCCTATTGCTGCTCCTATAACGCTCCCTTTTTTAAAAAAAAAAAAAAAGGAAAATTTGTTGGAGGAAAGGAATGAGGAATAGGAAGAGCTCCTGAGAGGATAATATTCCCTTTTAAAGTGCCCTCGCAGTGTAGTAACTTAATATTCAGGTTTAAACCCTGGCGTGTTAGAAAACCTTCAGTAGTTCTTCATGATCCTCCCGCTTCTCAGCCCAGCTGTCCCCACCCTTGGATTCCATGCGATTACATTTCTTGGTCTGTACCCCTGTAAACTTGCACTTTTTACTTGTCTTTGCAGTTACACCGTTGCTGAAAGCAGAGCCTCTGTTGTCCACAGTGCATCCTGTAGACCTCCTCGGCACCAGGGGAGAATTACATTTTTTTACCTATCACTATATTTTTGATTTTCAAATGAATTAGCTTTTTGCTTCCAACGTTCGCCTAACCAGTTGCACATGTGAACTGCGCTGCTGTTCCTTGTCCTACAGGGTGGCTGCCGCTTGGCGTCTAAGCTCTCCATCTGGTGCTGTGGAGCCCCTTCCCTGAGGGCTTCCTGCCACATCTCCCGTGATGGTTAGCACTTGTAGAGATGTCCGGGAGCAACATTCATCTTGGTTGTTATTTTGTTCTTGGTGTTTTTTGTTTTTGTTTTTTTAATGATTTTTAAATTTTAACTCTATCTTTAGCTTATGTATGTATCAAGATGGCTTCATTTGCAAGAACCAAGGTCCAAATTGGAAGCAGCTTAAGCCATTGGTTCCAGTGGTAGGATGGATCCCAACGGTGACATAATCCAAGGCCTTTAGCTGGGTCTCCTATGCTGTGGGCTCTGTCCTCCTTTGGCTGCACCCTTTGGCTAGTTCAAGGATTTCCAGGCATTGCCTCCATTGGTACCCATGTAGAAACCTGCATTTCTGTGACTTCCTCCTAGGAGACAGCTTGGAAGCCCCTGGCAAACTTCTGGTGCTTCATTGGCTGACATTACGTCCTGTGTCCTGTTCTCACACTGACCAGGGCCACACACCTGTTGACTTAGGCCTCGACTGATGACAGGTGGGATGGTGTTGGTAGAATTCATGTGATTGGCTTCAGCCAAGGATTTCAGAAATGATTAAGGCCATTGTTGTCAGTTAATAGGTGAAAGGCACCAGTGTTTTATGTAGCAGATGGGGCAGCTTAATACAACAAAGAATTATTGTGTATTGAGTATTCTGCTAGGCAATTACATGTTAAGAAAACAAAAGTCAAGGGGCCGGGGAGATGGCTCAGTGGAATAAGCACTTCCCTGGCAAGCGCAAGGTCCTGAGTTCAATCCCTGGTTCTGCTAAAAAGAAAAGAAAACAAAAGTCATTATAGTTATGTGAAACTAATTCCATTTTGCATTTTGAAACAAAGTGCTTTTTTGAAATAGTTTGAACCTACCATGAATTTTCAAAAAATAAAACCACCAGATACTAAGGGAAGATTCCACTTTGTTTTATTTAAAACTTGGCAAGCAAGTTGTGGTGTGCTTGCCTGTAATCCAGTCTACTTAAAGGAGCCTGAGATAGTAGGATTGCAAGTTTGAGGCTAAGCTGGACAACATAGTGAGACCCTGTGTTTAAAAAAAAAACAAAAAACAAGAATTATAGCTATTTTAAAAGTTCTTGACAGTGTTATAAGCCACTACCATAATTCTGTTACAGGCATCAATAACAGTTCCTTCTGGTACAGTTTGCTTTAAATACATCATTTGTATACATGTTTTACTATAATTTTTCCCTTGATTTTGCTTTGATATGATTTATTTGAAGTCATTTTATTGACTTCAATTGTCACGTCCTTTTATTTGAAATTGATGCTACAGCGTATCTTAGTTCTTTTGGTGTACCTTTTCCAAATAGCTGGCCTTGGAGAGTCTGCCAGAAAACAGCTTCCCCAGAGATAGTATAATAGGGGATTAGAGGAAGGGGGATGAGGCTGATTAAACCACCATTTAAGATTGTTGGGGGGTTGCGGGGGGGGGCAGATAGCTCAGCTGACTAAAGCACCTGCTTAGGCAACCTTAGGCAAGCATTGGGACCGCGGTTCAGTCTCCAGCTCCACATGCCGTGCCAGCCCCGCCCACAGCGGACTGAGCCCTCC